TATCACTAATATTATCTAATGATTCAATATAGTTTTTTCTCATTTTATCAATTTTTTTATTCAATTTGTCTTTTTTTTTCTACCTATTTGACTTTAAACTATTAACAATACGATCTTATTCTACCATTTTTTCATTCCACATCTAATTTACTTCTTCTATTGTTCTGTATTAATATTCTGGAGGATCACTAATGCATTTGAGACGATCACTAACGCATTAGGCACAAGCAAATCTATCTTCTATATTTTTATTCTTAGAATCTAAATCAATCATAATTGTTTCTTTTTTATGTGCTTAACAAAGCCTACTTAAAGTTTATGGTTTCTTAATCAATATATAAAATTTACTTAATTATTTTAAATTTGCAGGGGAATTAATTCAATTTTATTATCTTGATTAACAACTTTTAAATTCTCAATAACATTCTTAAAAGTCTAAACAGTTTTAATGTATGCATCATTATGAAAATCTTTCTCAAATTGTTTTTAAATGTCTTCAATATCTTTAATATCATCAAAGTCCATTTAATTTTATTAGCTTGAAAGAAATTCAGATAATTATTTAACTTCCTCTTAGAAATTAGACTAAATTTAACAATTTTCTTATGAAGATTATATTCCTTATTAAGTAATTTTCATTTTTGTTTCTATTTTAGATGATAAATTATCCAAAGTTTTATCAACATTAATTTTAAGAGCCGTAATTTAATCAACTAGGGTTTTTAAATTTATCAACCTTATTTTGATGTCATCCATCCTTTTTTTTTATTTTTTTTCCTTATATTCTTTAATTCTCTTTTATGTTTATTCCTTTGTTGATATATTATTATTATTCATTTTCTCAACTAAACAATTCAAACATAAATATTAAGATTATTTATTTTCTGGAGAGACTAAATCTATTGCAACTATCTCATGATTATGAACTTGACATACCATTTCTCTGGCATCATCAGTAATTTAACAAGTTTTATTATTCATTTTTATTATTGTAATAATCTAAAATATTTTAACTTGCTTTCCTTGCTAACACTAAGTAATTCTATTAAATAAAATTTATTTATGGTAAATATTTAATCAAAAAATAATATATTTTTTAATATTAAAAGATTAGTAAAAGCATATATATAATTGATATTAGAATAAAACGATCATCATAATTATGATTCTTATGTAAAACCTCTGTGAGGACTTTAAAAAAGGAGGGAGAAATTTTTCATACTGATGAATGTTTACAAACACCCCAGATTTTTATTTTAAAAAATTTAATTAATAAACTGAAATATCTTAAGAAGAAAGATTAGCTATGATTTTATGTTAGAATATCAAGAATTGAATAACTATAGAGCTCCATAGTATACTAAGAACTTAAAAAAGTTTTTAAATTTAACAGGGCCTTAATTAATTATAATTGATTTCCTAATCTCAAAAAGTCTATGCAAAAAATTCACAAAGTTAATTAAAAATTTATATTAATTATTTTTAAAGCAACTTCAGAAAGATCGAGAACAGTATTATAGAGAACTATTTCTTTACAAAATACTAAATTATTTATATTTTATTTAGATTAAATAAAAGCAAATCTCTTTATATCTAAAAAATTCCATAAAATACGGAAATAAAATAAGCTGTTAATGAACATAAAATAGAAAAGTAACGATCTTAAGCATCTAATAGATAAAATTAATTTAATGGATTTGCTTAAATTTAAATTGATTAACTGATACTTTTGAATGTTAAACTTTTCCCATTTAAAGATCTAAACAATTCCTCTATTTAAAAAAGCTCTAATATTGGTTATAGCGATACTTTAGTATATGTATTCAAAAATTACAGAAAATGAGGTGGAAAAGAATACTACATAGATTTAATATAGGATAATGATTATAATAGATCTAATAAATTAAAAAGCATTATAGCATTTCCTGTTTGTAATGATAATCCAGATATACCAATCATAAAGTAAATCATAATATCATTAAGAAGCATAATTTATGTTACCTTTTACTTGGTATTTTCAGATATTACAAAAGGATTGCCTAGATTGATTTAGATCTACTTTCTTACCAAATCTAATTCGAATTAATTTTTAATAATCAATTAAGCCAATTCTATCTAAACACAGAATTTTTACGGGCTCTATAAATTGAACCGTAATCTCATATAATGGATCATTATGCGTTGTTGATAGATTTTCTATTTATGCTTCTTTAACTGTTTTATTAATGTAAAGAAATCTCTTTCTTTCAATAGTTAATATAACATTACATATGAAAGGATTATTATGAGTTTATGATAAATTCTAACCATAATTTCAAAGCATGAATTAGGAGTATTTTAACAACCTTTTCCAACACTCCCATCTTAATTTAATGTTTATATGCATTATTAGTTTAAATAGCACTCTTTTTGTAACTCAACGCATCCTTTTGTGTTATAAGCAATTGTGCTTTTAGAGTTAAAGGATTCACAATTTTCATGTATAAGGTTTTTTAATTTATAAATCACTTATTCTTCTATCTAACAAGTAAGTGATGGGTCATTATCTTTGCATTACTCATTATTATTATCCCAATAACAGTATCCTTGATTTACAAACTTACTCATCAAGATATAAAGAGCAGGTGTCCTTTTTCTTTTAGCATTCCTCAGAATTGAAATGATATACTACAACACAATTCGAATTCCAAGCAAAATATTCCCTATGATTATTAAACATGTTGGAGTTTGATGAGTTGCATTTTTTAAACTCTATTTGGTTTTAACATTTTTTATTAAGGATTATAGATGAAATTATTCATCCACTTTTGACATTCAATATTATTTTTATAAAAATATATATATTGAAGCATCCTAACCTTCTTTTATTTTATAATGATATTATAAAATCCTCATCAAAAGCATTTCTTTCCATTTTCTAGATTTATTTTATATTAATATTCCATTTTCATATCACTGCAACTAGTGGGCCATTTTATGCATCCTGATCCACCACCTCATATTATACATTCTTATAAGCTATTTTAAAATTAACAAAATCTTCGTTTGTTTTATAATCTGATGATTAAGCTTCATAATACTCTTCATCTTGAAATTTATTTTAAGTGACATCCCATCGACAAATAACCTTATATAGTTGAAAAACACTGCTCCTTTTAATACAACTGACATTATTAAAAATTTTATCGTAGATTAAGAGAAAACATTTCTTGTGTATTCTGGCAGCCAATACTTATATTATTATTTAGAATTAAAGGTATAAACATAAGATTTAACTTGAATCTTTCATAATAATTTGATTTATAATATCCAATAGATGGTAATTGTTCGATTAAAGTTTTAAATAAAGGATTTTTGTTGATAGTAA